AAATGTAGACAATAGACGGAATTGCTGACTAGCAATGCATTATGGGTGTTATAGTCATTCTGATAATATTAAAAAGGTATGCATATTTATAACTCACGTGTTCCTACTGGGATCAATGTTTTCGTTATRAAGAAGATGTACTGTGACTCATTGCTGTTAACACTACGATCTCCTTTTGCAGAGGACTTGTGAGAAGCTACCTCACTTGGAATGGGACACCTCACTTTCMCGCATTTCSAATGAGCACCACAGGCATCCCGGTGGTGTGGACAAATAGTCAAAGACAGATTCGAATCATCTGATTGAAAAACTCCTTCAATTAAGATTAAACACGATTAAAGGTTAGCTTTTGGGGTTGCCGGAGAGTTTCCCTGCTAATAGCGTCTACGGTGGATGAACTCTGCTAGCAGGGAACCGGAAAGTATGAAAGTTATGAAAGAAACAACATCAGTTACCTGCTCTTGCAAGTAGAAGTGTTAGTTCGTCTTTAACAAAATCATCAGCCACTAATTTACAGGTCTTGAGGTGCTGCGTTATGTCTTTGTCACACTCACTCAAAGCAATACACTGTATATTGTCGGTATTCCTCCAGCTTGCTCCACACGGTGTAGGATCTTGAAGCAAGAGAGAATAACCGCACGAAGCCATTTCACCAACGCAGCAACCAGCTAGCTCGACATCGCGCAATGGTAAGAAAGTTCCCTATTTCACAATATTTGTAGAATGGAGCCGTCAAACATAACACGCGTTTATTTCTTACGACACAAACGAAGCCGCTCGTCTAGACAACTAGCAAGCTTCACGCCTTGGACAATGCAGTAAGACTATAAGATCACACATAACATAAGATATAAAGCTTGTTTAGTAAATATAAATGTGAACAACGTAAATAATGTCATCGTAACAAACAGCTGTCATTCGTACTCACATTGGATATGGCCTTTATTATCTATAAATGCAGTATCAATTTTATATAATTTTGAGTTTCAGTTTTGTTTCAATATTTCCTCTTTTGAATTGGTTTTGTGCAAAATTATCATATTAGGCC